ATATATATATATATATATGACAACCATATATATATAATCTTTATGCATGATATACATAATATGTAATCTTTATGGAGTTTGGGGGAAGAGAATCATATTTTGAGAACTAGTCTCTATGTTTCTTGATGTTTCTCCATCTAAAATATTTTTAAATTGGCCCAAAGATGATGGTCATAAGAGAGCCCTCTGGAGCTTTATTAGCCTTTAAACCCCACTCGGTGTTTACAGACACAGTAGCAAAGGCTCCTCTGTTCCTTTCTTTGTCTCCATGGCTTCATTCTTAATGTCCCAGAAAAGGGAGAGGAAAAGCCTGCATGTCCCACAATGAAGAAGAGGACCACGAGCCTCCAAGTTATTTTCACTCACTAAAGAAGAGTTAGATTACACGATTGTATCTGGTATTCAGTGCAGTCACTGTCCAAAGGAACCGCAGTGTAACTCTGTAGAAGTTATTGAAGGGGATTGGAGCGGATCTCGAGCTTCCCCAGGTAATACACTTCAGATATCCATTGACGTGACGCAGTCACATCAGCAGACAGCAGGAAAATGGCCCTTCAGTGGGACTGTGCAACGCTGTGGCTGTATAAGGGCATGGGAGAATAGGCACTGAGTGTTTCCTAGAAACGGTTCCTACCTGACGCTGGATGACAATGTGAGCACCAGGGTAGAGACAAGGACGGTGCTAATGGGTGAGACCTCGGTAATGGCCTCTTGCTGAGAGAAGGAAAAAGGTGCTTTGTGCCAGAGTGAATATCCCACTCCTTTCTGATCAGGCCCAGTCCTGGGTAAATGCATATAGCTGTTTAATAGCAACAGTGGTTAGTTCTTCCAAACCTTGCATTATTCACAAAAATGTTCTCATCTATACCTATGTAAATACAGCAGTGGCCTGGATCTTATTGTAGATTGAAAATAAACCCTGAATATCTTTATCTTGTGCATATGCAATAAACAAAAAGGAAAATGAACTCCTGGGAAAGCCATGCCTTTGGTGCACCTATTAAAAGGCAGTAAATAGACTGTCTTAAACCCTACACTGTTCATTGGGGTTCACAACTAGTAAACCGACAGCTGAAACAAAACATTTACATTACAATGTAAAAGATGAATTTTTCACTATAATACAAGTGAACATTTTCAAATGTTGCAGAGATTGTACTAATCAAAATCTCTAAAGATACCTTTTATTTTTCTGCATTACTTTATACTCTAATGATAAAATAGTAACAGCAAGATCTCGTTAAAACCTCTTCCCCTGTCCACAGTGTTGCCTTTTTCAGGATGTAGCCTTTTAAGATTTACTTCTTTGTCTAAAAATATGCATTTGTGTTTCTTCCCTACGTTTTTTATGGCTTGACAGGTCATTTGTTATAGTGGTGAATAATATTCCGGCAGCTGGTTGTACCACAATTTATTTATCCATTAAATTGCTGAAGGACGTCTTGGTTGCTGCCAAGTGTGGGAAATTATGAATAAGCTGCTACGAACATCTGTGCCTGTCTGTGGAGATATATATCTGTGGATGTCTATCGACGTATGAGTGCTGGCTAATGTATGCTCTGGACTCTGGCTGGTAAGGATGTGTCAGTGTAGTTTCGTGACCTGGAACAAATGTGCCACTCTGGTGGGAAATGTCGACCGTGGGAATGGTGTGTCCATGTGGGACCAGGAGACCAAGGGAAATTTCTGTACTGTCACCCAATTTTGTGATGGATCTAAAACTGCCCTAAAAAAATAAACTCCTTTAAAGCACCGTTTTTCCCTCTGATGGTAAAATTCAATAGTAGCTCTCCCGATACATAGCATCATCACAATCGCAAATAATCCACAAATCATGTATTGTTGCAATACAACATAAAATATTTTGAATAGCACAAAAGAGATACTAGCTCAGAAAACAGCTTTAGAATGTAGTGTTGTAGTTAACTTACAGTAGTCCTTCTATACCCAAGTGTGTATATTCCAAGACCCCCATTGGATGCCTGAATTTGCAGACAGTACAAAAACCCTATATCCTACATTCTCTGAAGTATTGCAACATAATATCAAAGTTAATTTGTCCTTACATGGTTTATGTCCTGCAGTTTCCTTTGTATAACTACTTTTGTGCTTTGAGATTATTATGAAGTGAAATAGGTACTTTTGAACTGTGATACAAGTTGAGTTAATTACCAACTGAGATAGCTAGCTAGTAACTGACAAACCAGTGGGTAGCATATACAGCATGGATACACTGGATAAAGAGACAATTCACAACCCAGGCCAGACAGAGCAGGCTGCTGAAAGAGTTCACCATGCTTCTCAGAACAGCATACAACTTAAAACTTATGAGTTACTTCTGGAACTTTCACTTAAAATATTTGGACTACGATTGACCATGGGTCACACAGAAAAAATCCTGGATACTATGGTTACAGTTTAAAATCTTTATTATTTTGTGTTTTATACAAATGCATATACCCAGATTTTATGGTCCTCTGAATGCTTCTTGGTGTCTTTATCTCCACATGGTCTTTTGACTAATCTACAAGTGGCAGCCAAATCATAAGGAAAAAACACCAACAATTAGGCAGGCTTAAGAGAACCACAAAGATAAATGCTTGTGACATTAATTCCTAATGTTCATTTTTTCTTGAAGCTTTGGGTTTTCCCTGGAAAAAGTTGGCTACTGAATGCTGCTGCTGTCTCAGGCAGGTGACCCAGACCTGGGCCTCCAGGGCCTCAGTCCTCCTCCCTCTCAAGCACAGGGATCATTTCAACTCCCTTCTTGCCCTCCTGCAGCTGGGGAAGCATTGCCCGAGGAGCTAGTAAGTGGAGCTCCAAGATCTGGAGATGGGGCCACACCCACAGGTCCTTTCATAGGTCCTGAGGGTGTCTGGTTGGTTCTGCAGGAGGGTGGAGCTACAGTGAAATAGCACAGTATTGCTGGATGGCTGGGATAACCAATGGGATGAGAATTTTAAAAAGAAAACTGAACTTGTCAAGTGGGAAAAAGCAAAGGGGGTAACAGGCCTGGAATGTAGAACATAACACAAAAATCTTTCTCAATGAACAGATGGATGGATGCCTTGGTGCACTTCTTTCAGGAAAAGAACAATATATATATATATATACATATATATATATATATCTATCTATATATATATATCATATGAGTTTCTTTGCAGTCAATGAAAAGGATTCGCTTAAAATGACAAGAGCAAAACTAACCCTACATACATAGTCCATGAAAAGTACTTAATATTAGTACTTCATTTGTCCACTAAAAGGTATTCATTAGACTTTTTAAAACTATTTTAACAAGTGTAGGCCATGTATCAAAATATCAGAATGCCAATATCACAGAGACCGAGCACCCCACAAGGCCATAAAGATACTGTCCTAGCTGATGAGGTACTCATGGCAACCCACAGAGGATGGGGTGTTCTGAAATGATGCGCCACATTTAATTATTGTATTTGGACACTTCTGCAGGTACACTGCCTGGCAGGGATGACGATGCCTTCCGCTCCATTTCAGGGCTTTGAATTAGTGCAGCTCTCAGCAGAGGTGCTGGTGCTTTGGAAGTACACTGTTATTTGTTTTTTATTTCATCAGAGGCAGAGAAAAGGTCACTGCCTCTTGAAAGGAAGTTTTCTTCAGGGGAGCTGAACAGCGGAGTGTAAGTCAGTGCAACAGAGGATTTGACAGCAATCCTGGATTTTATAATTTCGGTAGTAGAACGTCCTGTTTCTCAAAATGCTCTTCAGACAAGTCTTGAAGGAAAGTGCCAGGGGGTCCTGGCCTTTGAGCCTGGTCTGGCCTGCTCAAGTCCCACACAAATGAACCGCCTTTTCTCATCTAAATCCAGAAATTCATTCCTATACCTCAAAACAGAAGTTAGTTTTCTTAAAAAAAAAAAAGTCAAAATAAGGACCAAATGAAAGATGACTGTGTGTAGAAAAGGGTGTGTCTATCACAGGAACATCCCCGGATACCAGTGCTCTTTCTCTCTGAGACTGCTCCTCTGTGGGCTGGAATTCTCTGACCATAGTACGTGTGAAGATACTTTTTTGCTGGAATAATACAGATTCTACTTCAAGTGGAAGATGGATATTTGCAAACAGGAGTCCTGTAGCTTAATTACCAGGAGAGAGACCCTAGACAAAGATGTTAATGTTAGTTCAGGCTCTTCCCAATCCCCTTGTCTGAAAGATAGACCATTAGACAACTCCTTCTAGACAGCAGGTCAGTCAAATGGTCAAACCAGCCTGCTAAAAAGAATCCGACTTCTTCAAGCTCCTGCCAAGACTCCACCCACTGGGAGGTGCTACAATCCAAAGCAGTTTTGAAAATACTGCTTCTAAAACTCAGTTATATTTATTTTTTAGCGGTGACACCTGTATATGGTTAAAAGTTTGAAAGGCACAAAAGGAGAAAAAAAATTCACATGTGCAGATGGCAACATTAAGTTGCCATTTATTTTCCCTCTTCTCAGAAATCAATCAAATCAAGAAGGAAAGTAGAAAACAGAAGGGCAAAGTCTCTCTGAGTAATTGATAGCTGAAATGATGAACTCACGTGGGTAGAAAGTAGCAGAGAGGTACAGGGTGTCCCCCTCCCCAGAGCAGTACCTGCTACCTGTTGATGGCGGGCACCTATTACCCATGTGACGTGGACAGGCCAAACTCTTACAGCAAGAGTCCTGCCAATCTCAACCAGATCTCCATCTTGGCCACACATAAAGCAAGCCTTAAGTCATAATGAATTTCCAGTCTGACCTGTCCCTTCTGACACAACAGAGACTGTGGAAGAGGTGATCTCCTTCCCTGGAGGAAATACTAAAATTAACTTTGCTCCTTCAACAGGTTTTTCAGATGAACTTCCTGGGAAGTATCCAGCATAAAGGCGGGTGAGAAAACTGAGGGCCACATAAGGGAACTGTTCAAAGCCATTCAGGAGCCTTGCCCAGGGCCAGCCCAGGGTCCTGTGCGAGAGCTGGAAGGGCCCTGATGCTCCTAACTCAATTTTTCACAGAATGAATGGAGGAATTGGGAATTCACAGACACATTACCTGTTTACACAGATATATTACCTCGGGATTTGCTTTATTTTCCCCAGTACTGGCCAATTTTTGAAAGTTATCTTTAAGACACTAACATTTCATATTGGACTTAAAAATTTATGTAATTTACCTTTATCTGCACCCAAATTAGGACAAATGATGTATCTGCCAAAGTGACTCAGCTCGGGTCTCTTTTCCTGCATCCCTATACTTCTACTCATCTCTCTGGTAAGAATCTGCCAACAGACAACTAAAGACAATAGTTTTTGTTTGTTTGTTTGTTTTTGTTTTTTCAAAACCTAGGGAAGTCTAGTGACAGAACACCCGAGCAGCAGGCCCAGGACATTTCCCTCATCGGAACCCACACAGACCCATCCAGTAGAAGGCAGAATCTGCATCTGCTGAACCTCAGCCCTTCCCTTCTCTCCAGTGGTCCCAGAAGAGGTTGCTCTTGAGTGACCCAGGTTCCCTGGTGGGTGATTAGGAGGAGGAAAGCTTAGGGTTCACAAAGGGGAGACTTTAAGGGTTGAAAGACACCAGGAGTGAGGAAAATATTTCTTACGCCTGCATTTGGTGGCGGTTATTTGAGTTCATTGCTGTGGGACCATCATAATTATTTTCCTTTTCTTTCTCTTAACCTTTTCTCCCTTTGTCTTTTTAGTTACTGCTGTTCCCTGGAAGAGCATTAAGGGGTGCTCCTCAAGATCACAATGTTAAGTGAAATAAACCAGACACACAGGATTAAGTATAGCATAACTTCTCTCACATGAGAAACCCAAAGTCTAAACAAATTAAAGAGCAAGAGAAAAGGCAGACAATAGGAAACAAGGAGACAGCTTTGGCAAATGGGAAGGGGATTTAGAGAGGGAGGAAATGGGGAAGGAGAGAAGAAAGGGAACGAAAAGAATTAAGCAATTTACAGGTACCTACTCCCCACAATGAAGTGATCACTGTATAAAAAAAACCCTGTAGTTAAAAAAAAAAAAAGTTCAGCCATAGACAGGGATCCAATCACTTTCTGACCTGTGAACTGATCAATTATATTAGAATGCAGGTGGGAGATCATTTGCCATTAGCATCACTAATGGTCTGAAACTGCTAGTACTCTTGTTACTAGTGTTAAAGACAAGCATCCCCATGAGAGATATCGTGCACTTGTCCCGAATGCATGAAGAGACTAGTACAGGAATTTAGGTTCTGCTTTTCAAACTGTAGTCTTTTCTTATGCTAGGGCTTGAACCTAGGGCCTTGTACTAGCTGGGCAAGTATTCTACCACCGAGTATGTCCCTAGCCCAGGTCACCCTTTTATTTAGGTAACAATGAAGATTGTACAAAGGAAGGAGCGCCTCTCATTTTGTAGTTTGCTGGGATGTCGTTAAGATATGACTGGCCCCTAGTTTCCCAATTCTTGGGAAAAATTTGAGGGAGTCCATATTCTTTGATAATCTCAATTTTTTCTTGTGTACACCATACATTTTTATTTCAAAAAAACCCACTAATCTTCCATATATTAAAGTTGACTATTAAAATTTCCCCTTGTCATGTCATTTCTCACACTGTTGTGTATGGTTTTAGACAGAATTTTGAGAAAGCATCATCTAGTCTCATCCACCTAACTCATTCAGTGTTGTGATAATGTGCACCTATTAAGTCAGTTTTCATTGTCAAACCAAGGTCTGACTTTATTTTTCCAGTTTAAATGACACACAAACACATGCACAGAGACAACCATGTGATTTCTAAAGCCTAATTCTAAGGTAGATGAATTATTGGAATGGGATTTTCCAAATAAAATTGTCATCTAGATAGATAATAAGTGGTGTCCAATTGGACCCTCCTCCTGGGCAAGTCGAGTGGGAATTGTCCCTTTGTTTGGCTGGCTAGGGGATTTTACAGCCTTGATACACACACAGCACAGATTTGGGACAGGTTAGTTTTGCTTTTCTCTTGTAAACCAAGGGAGAAAAGAGATGGAAGGGGCTGGGAAAGGAAAAGCAACAGATTGGTTAAAAGAAAAAAACACACAGGGAAGAGAGATGGAAGGGCTTTTTCTTAGGGGGATCTGTGCCTGCTTCTGCCTTGGAAAGTCTCTGGTCTCCTGGGCACAGCACCTGTGAGGGATGGCAGATGCTCTGGACAGGTGAGGGCATGAGCTCGGCTGCTGTTCTGACAGGTATGTTCCCGGTCAGATAGAGTATTACTGTTCCCTTGTCTTATTTTCTTGTCTTATTGAGTGGATCATCCTTTTTCTGTAGGACCCTGCCATGAACTAACTCGTCCAATATGGAGACCATTTGGCAATGATCCTGGAGTCCCTGAAGTGTCCAAGGCCAGCTGTATGCCATGAGAATCGCAGCACAGACGGACCGGCCAGGCAGCGCAAACCCACATTGGAATTGGCCAGCATATGCTGTAATGACACTACCCAAGCCCTGAATTATTTATTCACATCTCCTAACTGCTATTGCAGCACATGGCAACTCTCTGCATGGACAGCCAATCTAGAGAGTGAACATGCAGCACACTGCCTTCCTTGGGTACAATTTGTTCTGCAGACACATTTAAGGTAGAGTTATAATGTAAGATGTTTCTCATGTCATATGCACTTGGCTTCAATGTCTCATTACAGTTTTCCAAGTAGTAGTCACATACTGTCTGGGAAAGTGCTTTCATGACCACTCCTGTAAGGAATCTAGCAGAAGACTTTCAAACTCCTTCCACTCAGCACCAATTGGGAAAGTGCTTCCTAGGATGATGAAGAGGTCCATCTGCCTTGTCGAGCAGCCTCCCTTCTCTCCCAGCAGCTGTTTCTGTCACATACGTCCACTTAATGTACACAGAATAAGTCATACTCCAAATGCTTACGCACGTCATACTGCTCAGGCCACTCTGTACCATAACTGTAGTCTTCCGCCTTCACCTGGGTAGTCTTTGAGAGCATGTGCACTTACACTTGTAAATGGGTAGTTTAATTTTTCCTGCCGATGTGCTTCATTTCAAGGCATATTGGAGAAAGTAGCATGACAATTACATGTTTTCATAAACACTCTAAGATAGGCATGCTTTCAATTCTAATAGATTTTTCATAAATGTATTAATAGACTGATAAATCCTAATTAATTTAAAATTATTACTTGCACTCTTATTTATTCTTTTATGTTTTTTCTTCACATGTTACAACAGATATAAAGCATAAGAGTAAGCTATTTTCATCCTTTTATAAACATTCATGCCTGTAATTAATGTTTAAATACCTGAAAGAAAAGAAATGGCCTATTGGGCCAGTAAATACTACTTTTTCAGGAAGGATGTTAGTGATGCCTTTGACACTATTATAAGTACATAGATGCTCAAAGCTGCTTTCTAGCATGAAGTACATGTTGGTTCCCAGAAAACTGGTTCATTAAAACAGCTCCTTTTTGTTTAATGTAATCCTACTGTGTTTATGGTTATTACCTCAAGATTTTAGTGACTGCGGTCTCTTTTTCCAGAAGGTTCCTGGCCCTGATGCTGAACACAGACTTGCGAAGCTGAAAGCAGAAGAAACTGGTTTTAGTTTTGGAACGTCAAAGAATAACTCACCAACAAATTACTAAATAGATGGCACTACTAAAACATCAAATGAAAATGCTTTTCACTAAAGCACCGTTGCACACTTAATTCCATTGTTTAATATTCCTCTTTGTTTTCACTTTGGCTCGAGTGAGTAGAGCTGTGGAGCTGCCTGCCACAGCCCCGGGATGGAGAGAGTCACTCTGTGCCGCTGGCTTCTCAGTTTCCTAAGAACCTAACGCTGACACCAACACTGGACTCCTTTTCATCACTGTTCAGTAACATGTGCTGCTGGTTCTAGGCCTGGGGTCCAGTGCTGATCTGAATAGGAGGGGAGGAGCTGACTTGTCCACAGGTGTGGAGTCCGTGAGATGGGCATGTAAGTGGACCTCCAGGTTGACTGAAGAGGAGCAAAACAAACCCTGGAAACTGGAAACACACTCCCTAAACTCAGCTCTGTCCTGTTTGCTAGTCACAGAAGGTGGGTTCATGACTGGTATGCAAGGAGCCAAAGTGGCTGAGAAAAGGGAAGGAGACAACAAGGAAATGCACCATCAAGGGTAGAGTCTTGAGAACAAACAGCTAGAAATGTAACTCTAGGAGTCAGACTAGAGCTAACAATGGAAGAATGCCTGTTGGGCATCACCAGTAGATCACACTGGAATTACTGAGCACTTGGCACAGTAGTAGTGACCCATGCTGATACAGAATAGTAGGAATCAAAATTCCTGGATTCCAGAATCGAACAGCTTAGTGAGGCAGGCCAGATTAGGATGCACGGCATCACTAGTGAACCGGACCGTGCAGCAGATGCTCAAGTACTGGGCAGTGAGTTCAGCAGAAAGGACGAGAGGGGCTGTTACACACAGGCTGGATGAGAACTGGGTGTCTGGGACGATGGCGATGAGTTTGCTGAAGAAGTGGAAGTTGTGCGGGCCCTGAAGGACAAAGGAGACTAGCAAAGGTGGCCATGGGTGAGGCTGGAAATACGCGTCCAGAGCCAGTGAACTGGGGCAATTCTCTGTACAAGTGCTACGGGTGGGTCACAGAGGCAATCAGAGGAAACCCTACAAGGCATAACACGTTCCAAACAAAGGTGAGGGAAGGAAAAGAAGCACGAGTCAGAAAGTTATACAGTAAAACAGACCACCTCATCACTCTTTCTCAACTGGAGTCAGGCAGGTTGGGACTCAAGGCCACAGAGCCCCAATCTACAAACCAACCTATAAACAAATGCTACTACATCGACCAAGGAGTTTGCTGGCCATAGTTGGAGAAGAACTCAAAATGGTCTTCTCTGTCACAGCTGACAACTGAGGAGGCCCATCGTAACTTGCAATGTAATTTCCTATTTTCCAGCAGACCTGCAAGGAAAGGGGAGGCTCTCTGAACACATAGGCCACCTCCCCCACATTAGGAAAGCAGGCATACTTGTCTTACTTTTTTATATTTGATAATGAAAAACTGAATTGGTTTCATTATTTGCTAAAACACCTAGGAGACTAAATTAACATACAGACAGGGAGACAAGAGAGGACGTCATTTATTTAGAGGTTATGCTTTCTTGGTAGCCCATGGAAGGCAATGTATGACGGTGGAGCAGGAAACTTTGACGCATCTTCTTCCCTCCCTAGAGAGGTGATCTGGACCTTGGTTTCATCTCCCTGAGCTGGTAGGATATTTCCTAAGCGATGCTGCTCACAGACTCTGGGGACAGAAGAGCTGGCGGAGGGACCCCGGCATGGTATCTTCTTTGGAGACACCTCTGGGCCCATCCAGTTGGGAGGCAGAGCCAAGTTAGAGACTACAGATGCCACCACACCTCTGGGAGGATGACCACTGGGGGGGTATCTGGCTTCCGTCCCCCCACCCCAACCCCGCTGACCCCGCCGTGGAGTGGCCCACGTGTAGTGACTTCTCCACGTTAGGGAAAACCTTTGCATGGCATCCAGGACAGTATTTCCTTAGTGACTTCTGCACCGCAAAAAGTTGCTGATGGGCTACAGAGTCTCCTTTGTCCTGAGCTTAAAATGATTAAAATGATTAATGCACTATTTAGCCATATAAGGGAGTACCCTTGAAAGCTGTTGTAATGAACAGCCAAAGTAGAGGAAGAAAAAATTTTGTAATAGAAACATTTTAAATTCCGTTTTGGGATGTTCTTGAAAGAAGAAAGAAAGGATATATACATATATGCATACATATAAAATAATGTGTATCAAATATGACATGTAATCTATTTTATAAATAGAAAA